TTTTTTTATATATTAACTTCATTCCTTGTGCGTGTTAATTCGATTTTTAAGCACAAATTGTATATCGTAGATTATCTCGATCGTTGAATTTTATCACGTTGTAAAAGATTTTCGCTGAACACGTTATTCAATTGTCGTTTCTTTTTAAATAGTATATTTATCGAATTATTAAACATTTTTGAAATCGTCTCCTAGAACCGTCGATAGTAGATTTGATGTGCCATCGAGAGTGTCTAGAAGATAGATAATAAATAATAAATAATAATAGTAATAATAATAATAATAAATAATAATAATAATAATAATAATAAAAATTTTACCGAAAAATCTTCACCTATTACCACAATGGGAGCTCTCATTCAGAAGATCATATACTCATCCAAGATAATATATATATATATTTTCGTTTCCTTTCTTAATAATTTATACAATATTTTTCGAGTCTTTCGACAATTTCTTTTTTCTTTTTTTCTTTAAACGAAATAGAAATTCTTCTTTTCTATCAATTACATGCGTTCTTGCTCTGATCGACGTCGTCTAGTATCGAAGATATTCGTCCTGCGTGTCATTTCAGTGTACAAGTACGTATACAGAAATTATTATTGATCGACCCTGTCTCTCGAAAGATCTTCAATCGATCGCGAAAAGAACAAGCGAAATCGAATTATTAGTTTCCTTTTTCTTTTTTTCTTCCTTTATTATATTTTTTTTTCTTATTTTTTTTTTTTTATTTTTTTATTTTTTCCCTCCTCTTCACAGAGTTCGAGAGTTCAAAAGTGAGAATGAGAAAAAAAAGAGAGAGAAAGAAGAGAGAGAGAGAGAGAGAGAGAAACTGAACGAGAGATTGATATTCAATTTCCAGATTTATTTACTTTCCATTCCAATTCTTTTCCACACATATATATGTTCTAATTTTCTTATTCGCGATTATTCTTCGATTTGAACCATTCTTTCGGTTAAATTAATTAATCGATTAATTATCCACGCGTTATTCTCTATTAATGATAATAATAATAATAATAATAATAATAATCCCAATAAAATTCTCTTCTTCTCACTTCTAAAATTCTCCACTTCCTCCCCCCTCACATGTGAAATTTCTCTGATTTCTTTTCCAGAGAGCAAAACGGATTACCAAGTGTATCCAAAGTGTCCGTCACCGATCGATCATCTGCCGAACAACACGCCGCCCTTTAACCCGCCTATAAATTGCTCCAGTTACTCGAGGCTTCTGTTTCAAGATTATCCGGGCGGGATACCGGACGCGGACAGGCCTTACAGATGTTGGAATTGTGGAAAATTGTACACGCACAAATCGACCTTGAAACGGCATCGCGAAACGGTCTGCGGCAAAATAAGAAACACGAACGGCAAGTGGAAGTGTCTGCGTTGCCCGAGATCATATCGTTCCGAGGGGAATCTCGAGCGCCATCTACGATACGAGTGCGGTGTCGCCAGACAGTTCTCATGTATCCTTTGCAACAGGAAGTTCACGCAGCACA